GGTTAGGTATAAAGTCAATGGCCAGTTTTAAGAATTTTGCCACTGATGATTTGATTGGTGGTGTTACGTAAATGTTCAGCCAGAATCTAAGGGAAGTTAAACACTATATTTATAGAATTTAGTTGTGCGATATTTTTTATAGAATTTTGTGGCTCATCAACTTTATTGACCAGTATCCAACAGTTTATAGCTTACAATATTCAGTTATTTTCGGTATATATATTTTTTATTTTTTTTTATTTTTTTTTTTTGAAAAAAAAAATTAATTCTGTGCAATAGCAAACTTATTAAAAATTTGTTTTTTTAAAACGTATATTAAGATCTATAAGCATTATTGCTAACTCCTACCTTAATCGGCCGTTGATATATTATTTTACACACACTTTTTTACAATGAAAGTCGATTCTTCTGTCAAGAAATATTGCAGACAGCGCCAAAGTGTTTCCTCACGTACTCAACATAACGTTCAAAATGCGACAACTCCTCTGGTGAATGATATTGATTCTTCAGTATTGACACAAAGGTCAAATACTTTATTACCTCAACTAAATCCATTAATGTTAAATCAACCACACGCAACACTCTTCTCTCTCCCTTCTGAATTAGTTACTAGAATTTCATTTTACTTAACTTTACCTGACTATTCACGTACATCACGTACTTGCAAATCTTTACACACACATTTTCAAAAGGAGTTGATTTTATTTCTTCGGCATGTTTATGGGCTTTCAGTTAGATCTGGGTCATTAATTCTTTTTGCTTATGGTGCTCACCTTCAATATCGAGCACCACGTTTGCTTGATCGTATCATGGATGAATTTTTTGTAGACGTTGGTGACAATCTTAATATTGGATCATCTAATTCTAAAACTCCAATCTCTTTACGTCAGGCAAACTCACGATGGCCTACATATTGGTCAGTTTTATATTCGCTTGATAGATTACCACCCTTAGATCCCCCACAAAATTATACCCCTTCAGCATTATCATGCTGTTCAGATCACAATGTGGACAATTGCAACATTCAATCACATCAGAATATATCATGTTATTGTTCTGAACAAATGGTTAATTTGAACCCGAAGTTACAATTTCTTGAAAAATATGCGTCAAGAATGAATGCCAAGTTTGCAAATCGACTTGGTAGAGGAGGTGAAAGACATTGTAGCCTTGGACGTCGTAACGAATGGTTTCTTTCAGATGTTCGACAAAAAAAAACTTATAGGATGTTAATTATGCAAAATATTAAATACGGAGATGTTGAACTTTTAAGATTTTATTTGGAAAAATATGGTGCACCTATTAATGGCGTTGTTAGGTTCACACCAGAGGTGAAGTATTAATTTTATTTTAAATTTGAAATTAAATTTTTTATTTCAAACTTTATTGTAATTATCTAGCAGTTAAAATCATTTAAACAGTTATTCACATAAGTTTCATGTTATTTAGGAACAAGTTTGTCTTATGCAGGATCGTAATTTGATGGATTTATTGGAGAAACACGGTATACGTGTTTTATTAACGGAATAATTATCGTGTTTTATCCCTTACGTCATTAATAGACGATTGGGTGAAACATAAAACATGAGACTAAGAAGCTCTCGATGTCATGCAAAAAATTCTTGGCTATTTATTTGCATTTTTCCACAAAACAATCACATTGTTGTCTTACCGGAAGAGAAAATTTTTTGGGTATATATCGTTTTTTTACGCTAGATAATTATATTCAGGCTGCAATCCGCGTAAACATTCGGTTTTATATGCGTGTACTTACGTACGTGCTTATTTTATAGCATAGATGTTATTTACTACTTATGTATACGTCTTAAATTTCAAAATTGTTTAAAAAAAAAAAAAAAGAAAAAAAAGAAAAAGAAAAAAAAATCAATTTAATTCACATTCTGTACATTTTTTTTCTGTTGATGATTTGAAAATATTAAGAAAGAGTTAATTATGTATAGTTTATTATTTTCTCAAATAAAACTGCAAACAATGATTGATTTTAATAGCTTGAACAAATATAAATGTGGTATAGTCATTGATATAAATAGACATAAGGTTTTAAATAAATGTGAGTTTATTGAATGGTTGCATTAAAAGAATCTGAGCCATTAATGAAAAATATATATACGTTTGAATTCTATTAGTTGGTTTTGCCATTTGCATCTCAATGTAACAGTATTAGGATCAAGTTTCCTTTTAAGAATTTAATTAATTCCATTGTATCGAATTTAATTAGTCCTTTCTGTATTGAGAATCGTGCTTGCTTTTATTAAAAATCACGAAATTACACTACGAATTAAAAATCAATAAACGCTATTAATATCTTGATCAATGGATTCACTAATAATCTACCTCGATCTTTATCTGTACACGTCTCAAACATAAAAACATTTGACACCAGACTGTTTTTACACCATTTCAGAATATTTGTTTACTATATTAAATTTAAGATCTAAAAGTTTGCACGTAAGCTCGTGCGCATCTAGGTTATATTTTTGAATAAGCATTTATTTTGAGATAAGGCTATTTTACAGGATAAAAAGGTATAAATTATTTGGTTATACAGTATCAAGAGTTTTTTGCTATGTACTTTACTAAGACTTGCAAAATAGCAATTTGCAATTAACCATAAAGTAACTATATAGTTACTTGGTGGTAGCAATTTTCTTTATTATATATTAGCAATATGCCCACTATTGTTGATTTTAAAGTTATATATAATTATTTTATTATTACTATACTGTATATTTACTGCAAATTTCAGTTAAATATTTACCAAATCTCTTCTAATTTCTTTGAAAAACTATTTGTTATTATTTAATTATTATTTTAATGAAGATGTGTCATTTTAGTTAACTAAGAATTACATACCTATTGAACACTATGACAAATTTATATGGTAAGAATGAAGTAAACAACCTTATACAAATACTTATCATCTGTTAGCTTTTTCTATTACAAAGAAACAAACAATATAAAAAAATTCTTCATAATACAGTAACAATACATTATAATAACATTACCTTATTATTTGATCAACTTCGAGACTATCTATAAGTATATGAGATCTTTGCTAGAAAAATGACCCTCCGAGGCTGTATAGATTTTATGAATAAAATTCAAATTTGCTAGTCATTCAACAATCCAATTTAAATAAATTTTTTTTATTTTTTGTAAAGATGAGTGAGCTTTATAAAATAAAAAAAAATTTATAGCTGGTAATTGTATAGCCTCGAAGGGTTATTTTCCTAGCAAAGATCCCATATATGAACATAGACATTCATATCACAATGTGAAGGAACTCTGTTGTAAGAGCTTTTGAGAAATAAAC